GCAACTGACAAAAAACAGTAACCTCTCTCTCTCTCACACACACTATTGAGTGTTTGTAAATTATATTCATTGTCACATTTAATTCGCTGCACTGATGTTGATAACCGAGTAAAGGATTATCTTCTACACATGTATTATATGACACGGGAACAAGGTTGTATTGTTATAAATTTTTTTGACAGATTGAGATTACAGTTAGATTGTCAAGTTATTAGAGGGATAAGGTATTTGATATGTGTGCATGTGTGTGTGTGGATGTGTGCTCTTCGTTGTCATGTCTATACTCCTTCTATTGATTATTTATCCCTTTATTTATCAGTCTACCTACCCATCTATCTGGTAACCCATATACAATGAAAATTTTAATTTAATCTGGATTTATTCACAAATAAACTAATAATGACAGTAACAAAACAACAACAACAACGATGGCGGTATTAGTGTTAACAGTGTCAAAATGATTTCCATTAGTACACAAAATGTATGAAAAGGTTAATCCCATCATGTGTGTGTGTGTATTCTGTTTCGCAAATGAATCTTGGATACGGTGTTTATATACAAAGCACAAACATATATGCACATTGGCTTTTAGAAGTTTAATTGTCCTACATTCTTTTCTCACCCTTTTTCATTACTAATGAAATAGTCTACTTGTTTATTTGCTTATTTATTAGTTTGTTTTAATAGGAAGTGTCAAATTAAAATGGCGGTATGTACAAATCCTGTATTTTCCCATTTTCATGAAATCTTCCTTTGTCAACTCAACAAACCGAAATAAAAAGAAAACAAATACATGTTTATCAAGAGTTCGAATTAAGAATATCTATATGTAAAATATGTAAGACGATTTTAGTTTAATCCATATTCGACTGGAATAGTGATAATCACCATGGTAATTGAAATAAACAGAAGGCGATACGAACGAAGGAATAGTGACTGAAATCAGTAGATGTTTAATTTGATGTTTGCTTATTCTTTTGTCATATTTATGATAAATGTGTTTGGTGTTTCTGGGTATATAAATGATAAGTTGTTATTGTCAATCAAGATGTCTTAGTTATTATTATTATTTATTGTTATACTTGTAATTCTCTGTTGTTTTACTGGATCAAATTATTCGACCTCTATTAGCACATGGGCTCCTATGTGGATTCCTCGATAATGCCAGCTGACGAGTCCAAAGCAGGAAGAAATGAGCATCATGAATTCCTGTGCTAGCCACAACCAAGCAAATTACCATCATTAAACATTCAGACAATATCGAGGCATCCGCTTAGGAGCCCATATGCCAATAGAGGTCGAACAATTCGATCGAATAAAACAACGGAGAATTATAAGGATATCAGTAAATGGTGATAACTAATACCCATTGTACAAGAAACTGATATCGTTCCTCCGTGGCATAGTGGATAACGCCTTGGCGTTCGAAGCTATGAGTATGAGGTTCAAGTCTCGATGGGAACAGCATCACTCTGCACTGGAGTTCTGGTAAGTCCAGTTGACGAATCCAAAACGGGACAGGAGATGGGTCCTGGATCTTTCCCGTAGCCATAACCAAGCAAATTGTCCTAGTTAGTGTTTATGTACGTGGGGGCACTAGGAAGTTACTTGACTTTATAGTACAAATCTTTGGCATTATTAGACATGTTCTGTGTTCGAACTCCTGTAATTGTCTGGATGCAAACCAATAAGAGACTAGGTGGTAAGCCATAATTATTGAGTAGGAGATATGATACTAACTGACTGCTCCGACCTTGATAGGTAGGGTGACGTTAGAAGATGTATTCAACCGGTTAAACTTGAGTGCCTAAACCAATAAACTATATTTATGGTTCTCTGGACTGCTTATTCACTTTTCCAGCAATAATCATTCTTTGAATAGTAAAATTATTCAGTCAGCTTGTAACATGAAACAATTTTTTATGAGAAACACTACGAGGATTTAGCTCAATGTCCATGAAGACTGTTGAATGTACATAGTATACTGATACTATAATATATCATAGTCTCTGGGTTATATTTATTCTAAAATCTATCAATGTGATAAGTGAATAGAACTAACAAGGCAGCGAAGATAGGACTTCAAGTGAATGTAGGAAAGACAGAGATAATGAAGATACCCAACCAACACCACCACCACCAACAAGCTCCAATCAGCATCAACGGGAGGAACCTAAAGGAAGTAGCCTCTTTCACTTATCCAGGCAGCATCGTTTCAGCTACAGGTGGCACAGGCACAGATGAGGACGTCATAGCAGCCACGACCGGAAAAGCAAGACAGGCCTTCCTGCATTAATGTGAAATCAGTGTGGAGATCTACTGCACTGCACTGCATTCAGCATAAAGAAGGAGATTCAGATTTTTGACACCAACGTCAAATCAGTGCTTCCTTCTATGTGATGGTTGAGAGACTTGGCGTCTTACGGAAAGCATTCCCAACAAACTGCAGACATAGATAATCAACAGCTGCCACCTACACTCACTACATACTGACACTGAAGATCAGATGAGAAGGCCAGAGTGACAAGAATAAGCAACAAGGGACTCTGGCTGGCTGGCTGACTGCCAACGAACCAACCAACCAAGAATCTGTTGCCGAACAAATATGCAGAAGAAGAAAGTGGAGATGGATTGGATTGGATTGGATTGGATTGGATTGGATTGGATTGGGGATACACTGAGAAGACCGATTGAGGATATCACGCGTCAGGCCAGGTGAGGCGGGGTGAGGCGAGGCGAGGTGAGTCCATCGAGTGGAAGACAGTTGGGAAACGACGAGTTTGGCGTCTGAGGTGAGGGTGATATGGAGGAGATGGTGTGAGGGAGGAAGAGATGAGAGGTTGTGGGGAGTGGTGTAGCCATGTTATAAAGACAGCAGAGAACAGAGTGGAGTAGAGACGTGCTAGTGAAGCTCTATGTTCCACTAGGAACTCAAGAGGACAAATAATAATGATAATAAAGCGACGGATGAAAAAGGAGAAACAGAATTATGATAGTGGAGTATGAAAAATGTACAGTTACCTTTGATATGAATATGAACAATGAATTCTGTTGGAAACTTCATACAGTAAATCACACTGTTTCATCATGTGAAATATCCGACAAACAAACTAACTTGGAATTAAACATTGTCATAGTACCTAAGTTCTGGGTTAAAGTAGACGCAATCATTATTTAAACTCCTCAAGTAGTGGGCTAAATATTTAGCTAAATTAATAATCTCAGACTGCTTAACTTCGCTTTGTAAAATGCTTTGACAAGACTGTAGTCATTTCATAACTGTCTTTATGAACTGAATTACAATTTACGGTCAGGTGGTGCTAGATATATGTCCACAGTTTTGTACTAGCATACATGAATGACTTTACTCAAGATGGGATATCGATTTTCATCATCGTGACCTTAACCCCATATACTAATTGATATGAACCTGGGGTTTACCGATTTTGTCAACCAAATGGGGAGAATTTAAACACTAGACATCTTTTCTACTTTTTGTCAGATAATTTGAACCTATTTAGACCATGTTCAGTTAACTGGATTCGAATGTCCTGAAAAGTATGGATTTTTTGAAATGAATTCTTGAAGTTATAATGCTTTGACGAGCCTACAGATTAGCGGGGATTCCATTGAAATATTCATGTTTATAAGTTATATCTATATATAATCGTCCCATAATAATTTTATGCCATTTATCATCAACTGTCTTAGCTAATTAGTGTCCAGTGTAAATTTATCAATCGATTTCAGGTTGGAATTCATCATGGACTGAGATCAGCTGGAGGAACATTGGAAATCTGGGAGCACTGGACAGCTGTAGGCAATATGGACCATTGGATTCTGACCCAGTAGCTCAGTGGTTACTTACTGGCCATGAAAACTGAAAGTACTGGGTTCGACCCCCGGAGGGTGGGGTCATGAGTGCTTACTGCTGAGGAGTCCCATACTAAGACGAAACAACTGTTCAGTGCTTCTCAGTTTCCAATTTTCCTTCAACAGATGCCAGTCCATGATGAATTTTAACCTCAAACCAATTAATGAATCTCTACAAACCTCCAGAGTAAATTTATGAGCTATCTATCAGAAACGCGGGTGTGAACTGTGTAATTTATGAAAAATAATACAAATTCTTTATCTGCTTTCTATATGTTGAAGGTGGATAGACGGAATAAAGTAAATTCTCAGAAAAGGTGCACTTCAGTTTTCCACGCTTTATAACGGTAACAAGGAGAAATTAACGTATATCATCGGAACCTCAAGCTGGGTGGCCTGCACTTACCCCCATGGTCTATACTAACAGTTAGAGACGGTATAAATTCATGTCTTGTCCCGGTATGTTCACTGTTGTCATTCTTCCTGCTTTATTCTGCACTAGTGAATACGGTGTGTCGCAGGCTCGAATCATCTACTACTTCCCTTACGTTTAAGAAGAATAGTACTCGATACACATAACTTGTGTCACATAGAGCATAATTAGAAGTAGTTACAATAAAATATTTCTAGTTATATTCTTCTAGATGATTAGATGGAGATTTTTTTGGTGTGATGTTATCAGATCTCCAATCTTTTCGTTTCCCTTCCCATAAATACAACACGAATAAGTATGCGTGTATACATACACGCAGATCCTCTATGCGTACATATGTCAGTGATCCGTACACCTTGCCATTTCTGTCTCACATTCATGTTTCTATGATGACTATAATAATTTTTATCCAAGCAATTCTACGAAATAACTACTCTAATGTGTGTATGTGATAAGTAAGGAACAGAAATTTCCTCATATCTATCATTTATTGTTTTCTTCCCCCTTTCCGTTTTACTTAGGGCACAGATGATAAGTAGGCGACAGCATTTCCCGTGTTTGTTATCATACTATTTTTAATAACACTAACGAAAAAGGTTTGAGGGCCAATTGCATATTACTTGAATTATTTGTGCGTGTGCGCGCTACGCTATTTTCAGCATATACAACATTAAAACGGTGACATTAACTGACCAGGAATTTCATACAGAATTTACCAGTTACCAATATTTTAACTTTCATATTTTCGTTTGTGATTTAAGGCGAATTGTTACAAGGATTTGTTTTTCGCCAATATGAGATAGTACACTTGACTAACAAGTCTACAAGTATTGCCGTATGGTAATAAACCAAAGAGAATGAGGACGTTGACAAGATTGATAAACTGCTTATGTAAGTATTTATGTTTCAAAGTTGCTGTCATTCTTTTGATACACAAAACCTTTTTCTTAAATATATAAAATTTTAGGTAGTTATAATGATTACTTCTAGTTACTTTGCAAATAATCTTTTAGGTTGTTGATTTCAATGCATTCCGCTTTGAAATCATTTGAAAAAAAACTGTTATAATGACTAGGTATTGAACAGCGATTCCATCTTATTTTGGTGCCCGTAACGCATAAAATGTGGTGGGATCAATTCTAAGACTGAAAGCCTTCTCAACGACTAGGTCACCTTCTAACTGCCAGGTTAGAATTCAACGCTTTCATCTTTTATCAGTTCACAGAATTTAAAAATGGCGGAGAACTGAGTGATAATTTCATTATCTTTCGAAAGTCGATACCGTTTTCCTCTATAATTTGAAGGTGTTTTATAGATTAATTGTAGAAAGAGATTACGAAACACCCATCCCAAATTGTTACTTTGACAGTAGTTTTTCAACTGACAGTTAACGTGCGGTGATATTTTCTATTCAGTAAAGCGAAGTAATATTTATAGCGTCATAGATTTTAATCTGTACTCAAAACAGTTACTCAATAAAAGAAAACCATGTTATACTACATATTGTGTTATCATATACTTTATTATGGTTAGAAGTGAAACTCATCAGGTGCATTCTGTTCCATTTGAGATGTATCAGTTGAGTTCGCTTGAATTTTGTAAAACTTTCATACTGATGATGGAATTTGGAAATTATGATTTCAAACGACAATATTTTATCTACTAGACTGGTAAGCTGTGATAATCTCCTTTTCTTCAACAGGTATCATTCATTACTGGAATTTTTCAATCGTTTCCACTGTTAACATTTAGGCTGTTAGTGGGAATACTGCGATATTTCAGCTTTTTCAGCGATCATCATTGCTAATGATCTGCCATCTATTATACCTACTATACAGTTAATGGGAAATAACAAGCTAAAAATAGCATATAACTTAACGAGCTAAATTACACTTTTCGATGGATTCTTAATTCTCAGTAAATAACAATTTGATTATTGATTAAAAGCAAACAGTAATAAACTGTCGAACAACATGATCCGATATTCATGAGATTTGGAAAATTATTTCTTTTGTAGAATTTGGAACCAAAAGATTTATATCAGTAAAACTGAAGTCCCTTCTCATTTGAAGCGAGTAAACTATTCTTATTTGATCATTTAGGTAACCACTGAAAGTAACTTTTCGAAAAACGTTTTACCCCCTTCTATTGCGTATGAGTTTTGGTGAGATAGTCCTTGTATTCAATTAATTAGTCTGTATTAAACTTTGTGAAGTGTATCCATAAAAAAACCCATCCAAGCCTACAAAAATTTCTTTATAGGAGAGAAAATTTTATAGAATAGGGCCTTCTGAAATAGATCTGGTCAACATTAGAATGACTGTGATTCGAATGAAGAAAATCACTAATCTATTTGAAAGCCTATTCAGATGCGCTGTTTTCCAGTCATATGAACACACTGAATCTCCGATGACCGATAGATATCAACCTGTAGTCCAACTTCCGAAAACATTCTCGACAAAATTATGAATACCACCTTAAAAATAAAATCCCATGAACATTAAACTACATTTCTGTATAGCAATCATTAGCGACGTGCTTTGAGATGGACGTCTGAAAGTTCTAATGGGAAGCAGTGATCTCAGGGTTCAGTCACTTGGAAGCGAAGTAAGTGCCAGCTGAAGACCTTGATGGATATTCAGAAGTAGAAAACTTTGAACCAATGATCTCCAACCCAGTGGCTGGATGGTTAGCTTGTTGACTGTAAAACTTTGGGGTTTTGAGTTCGATCCCTGGTGGGATGAGATAGTGGATACGTTCTGCTGAAGAGTTCCACACCAGAACTGAACAGTTGTTCAGTGGTTCCACATTTCCAATGGTTCGCCTATTCATTTCAGTTTGTGATGAAAACAACCTTAAAAATTGAAGAAGAGTTGCTTAACCATATGGTTCGTTATCACAGACAATGCAATAGTCCATAGTTTGAGAACATTTTGACCAATTCATGGACCGTATTCCAGAGGTTGGCAGTGGAATCTAAGAAGTGGGTTTCATCCAGATGCATATATGTTACTGATATGCCAACCTATCACCCGTTTTTCCTAACGTATAAACTCCAACACTGGGATATATGTATACCCGGCTGACGAATCTCGTGCAGGGCAATATATGTATTTTCAGTTTAACCGCTAACCATTACTTACTATGACTACGATGTAATCACGTAATATCCATACGATTGTTTAACGAATCCATGTACTTACAGAGTTCAGTTCATTCAGTTCCATGTGTCTACCAACAATGAAAGTTTAGTCACAGTAACAAACCATGACATTTTCATTCACTTTAATTCCATTGATAAGATACATAACATTTATCCTTCTGAAATAAATCTTAATAGGTATTATTGCTTGGGACTCTAGTCAAGAAAATGTTAGCTTGGTGTCCAATAATGATTTTTTTTGTTCTACTGATAAGAATTTGACACTGGTCACATATTCCAATGATGTTTCAAGATACCTTGCATTTTACTATTTTTAAAATTGCAATCTCATTCAATTAAATTCTCAAACCGTGTTATTTAAGGTTACACACTTGTTTTGAAGTGAGATTCACCAGTTTAGTCATAAGGTTTAAATTGTATTTTTCTTTGGGGAAACTTCAGTTTCCACTTACACTGTTTCTGATTGAGTAATAGAATATTGGAATACTCTTGTAAGTGAAATACGATAATACACAGAGTAATCAATAAGTTATTCCACTCAGAAACGGTAAATAATGATTACGAATCTTTCCATGAAATTTGGTAGCACTGGAAAAATTCCTCATCTTGTTTTTCAAAAACTAGTTGATTGTTACGAAATTATGAACTGGGTAAATGTATACCTAAAAAAACAACCATAGTCTGAATATTTCCCATGAATGACTGAGTACTGAAGTTGATTAGAGACCAATACGAATATAGAAAAAAATTATGTCGATAGACGGCTATTTTTGATCAGATTAATGAATAAATCTTTTTGACATGAAAGGACAGGATCAACCTATTTCCAATGTCTTAAAATACTGCGTTTTATAACAAGGAATAGAAAATCTGCGGTAGAATCACATCCTTGGAAATCACAAGTCTCTTTTACTGATGAATGCTAAGAAATAATGAAACGCAGATGACATCTCAAAGATTATTGTATCACTGATGTAGGACGTATGTTGAATTCAGCATTATTTCATTGTTTGAATCTTCAGTGTAGGTCTTATCGAACTGAGAAAGTGACCAAAAATAGTGGCCACTGGTTTAAAGGACGCGTCTACCAAGAAACTTAGGTTCAAAACAAAATTTATCCAACAACTCTTCTGGTATAATCTTACACAGTATTATGTAGAAAAAACGATTCAGACTTGAATATAAGGAGTTTTGGACGCTAACTTTTAAACTAAACGGTTAACAAACTTCACTTGTAGGAATATATTCAAATGAATGCCTTTTCTCTACTGGATCTAATTCTAAAGCACAAGTCCCACATGTAATCGGACTTTATCTACTTCCGTAGCCTAGGTAAACTGAATTAACAGTGTAAGAAACGACAAAGAATAAGACGCACCAAGGAATATTTAGTATGGCATTTTGTACAGTAATAGTGAAATACTGTACACCTTCCATTGAAGTAGTGATTTGCACAATGTGTTTCATTTTCTCTTCTTCTCCTATCTCTATTTGCTCTTTATACGCCCATGTTATCTCATGCATTTCTCTGGACAGAATCTTTGTACATCATCCTTTATTACCTATGACTTTTGTTTACCACTCTCCACATACTACTTATATCCATTCCTATCAGTAGCACCTTCAATAATAGTAGTAAATGTGTACTGCAAACTGAAAATGCAAAGTGGGATTTTATCTACGAAGCGGATTGCAGTATGACCAACTGGTAAAAGTGATTTGAACGAAACTGTGGACTTTGTATAGATGGTGATAAGTATATTGCTGTCTATGGTGGTAATAATCTGTTAAAATAATATTTAAGATGGTGGTGTTATTGCACAAAGGGAAAAACTATTGACAAACTTAACTGCATTTCTCAATTAAAATGAACCATTTAGGTGGATAACAGTTTTCCTAATTCTCTTTTTTTGTTTATTAACTGCAACATTTTGTCTCAACAGGTTGGCAGGACTAGTTCTAGTTTACATTAACTCAAACATCCAACTTGGAGCTTCTCATAAGTCGAAAACAATTCTACCTGTTTCGGTCACCATTTCCTAAGTTAAGTGATCAATAACCAATGTTGTGAACAAAGTAAATAACCATTTAAGTAGTTTCTTCAGAGATTTTTCATTTCACAACTTCTTGAGGGATTACACTAAATGACCTTTTTCCAGTAACTAACCGAATTCGTACGGTGACCTACTTAAATCTTGGGCTACAAAAATTTTTTCATCAAATTCTTCTCTTTCGGTTTGTTTTAATCTATCAAATATGTCTTCGAAACGCATCATAGACTCTCGCACATTTTTAAAATGTTTTCAAACTGTCGTTTCTTAAACTAAGAACAAAATGAACTCTAGGCCGGATGGATATGGACTTATAAATGCTCAAAAATACGACATGTTACTATTCATAGAATAAGTATATCAGATCAAGGATTTTTGTACTGGCGGATTGAACTACCACCACCATAACTGCATTCCAATATTCAACATCTATCAGTGATTTTGTATTCATTTCCAAGATCAGACTAGACGCTAATGCAACATCAGCTGCCCGTTTCATATTACTGTTTTTAATACTGTGATTAATAACACTTTAGATACAATAATTATTTGTTTAAAAATATTGTACAGAGAGTGAATTTTTTCAGATATTCCATACTGCATCGCATATTGTTTGGGATAATGCGATTATTATTCGATATTGCAAACTAAGTATTAATATTATTATGAGATAGGAA